GTGCCAACTCCCCATGAAGGCCAGAAACACTGTTGAGTACAAAAACTAATGCTCATGTAGCATCTGTTGTGTTCTAAGCTCTCTCAGCATGTCTGAGGCATTCTCTCATTGGTTCCCCCCAACTTGTGAAGAAGGTCCCCTTTCCGTTCCTGTATCTCAGGGGAGGAATCGGAGGCTGAGAGGCCTTGTGTCACGTTGCCAAGGCCCGGCGGCTAGTGCGTCGCAGAGCTGGGACACAAGCCCAGATCTGCTGACTCACCCACTGGTTTGTAGACTTGCGTCGTCTTCTACTTCTGTCTTCTGGGTGTGTGTTCTGAAGAATATTCACCTCACCCCTTCCAGAAGCGTGGTGCTACTTCAAACTTTGGACAACCGGGTGTTAACGAATTACTTGTCTCTTTCAAAACACACTCCCATCACCGCCGCTTTCTTTTTTGCTCCCGTACGGATTCATCATGTGTGTGGACAGCCCTTTCCAAGTAGCACTTGGCTACTGTTTTGTCAACCCATAAAGTTTGAAACCTTGCTCTTCTCGGATGGTTCCAACCACCCTCCTACTTCACTGATCCCAAAGATGGCTCAGAGTAACTGCTTTTTTAGCATCCAAACTTATACACGTGTGCTTTGGTCTGTCGATAAGATGGAGAGGTAACCCGGCCCTTTCAGCGCTGGTTGATAATTAGACGTTCCCTTCCAGTAACTGAGCGTGGGACCAGAGTTGGCCTAGTGTTTGTCTTATCCGGAGGTGGGGCTGGTCAAGAGGAGGGAGGTTGACACTGTGTGTAAGGTTACTTTTGTGACAATTGAGGAAAGGACTGAAGGAGACAAGAGGGAGGTACTTAAGTAAGCTGTTTGTTAAGTAATAAATTCCCCGTGTTTGGAGCCATCTTGGAGGTTGGTTAGTTGGTCATCTTCTGGATGGGGACATGATGGCTCCAAGAAGTTAGTGACCCCGAGGTCTGACACCATTTCATAGCAGACACGTGATGGAAGCCCAGGTCCTTCCTTGTCCATCACTGCTCTTCTGAAAGATAGCAGCTTTACTTCTCTATAGCTTCCAAAAGGCGAAACTAGCAACCTCAGAGTGATCCATTTGCAAAGGCGTATAGGTGTTCAGATAACCAGCAATGGGTAAATCATAGCAACAGAGAACTTCCTGTATCTTTCATCAGGTCAATGATTTCTCCATCTAGAATCATTCTTTATTCATGAACCTTTCTGTTGTAAGACTCCCGTTGACCTCCCGAGGCCCTTCCCTGATTGAATTTCTTCCTTTCTTCCAGAGTCATTCTCTGTCACTTGAGGAGAGTAAGAGTGAATCCGTGAATCCCAACCCACTCGAGGCTCTCTTGCTGGCCTCCCTCGTATGTGTCCCCCGTGACAGGGAATGCCCAAGGGCACCTGTGGAGGGGGTAAGAAGCCTCTCGGCATCACAGAGACCTGGGGCTCCTTCCCCTGATGCCCCTGAGTTTCCCTCTGTGGTACTGTTACTTGGGTACCCTTGCCGCTGGGCACTTGGCCACTTCATCTTGTGGTGGCCATGTTTGCCTGGTTCCGGGTAACAGCCCCACAGGCTCAGAACCCTTCCCCAAGGGTTTCCTTTAAAGAAACATGCCCTGGAGCCTCTTTCCAAATGCATAAAACAGATAAATACAGAACTCCCTGGCCCAAGGAGCCTGGAGTGGGGCCCTTGAACCCCGGAATCTCCTTGACCTTGTTCCCACCCCCATGTGCAGTGGCTCCAGAAGCATAATTTGCAGACTCAGGGGCTCAAGAAACAGTTTGAAAATACTGCCTTTGTATGCTGAATTGCAGAGTGAGGTCTTTTCTTGAGCAAGAAGGAGGAGGTAGTTTCAATGGTCTCTTTCTTTCTAGTTCTACTGTGTGTTTCACTCCTGTGAAATCTACCCGAGATCTTGAGGACTTACCTTTTCCAGGCACAGTGATAAGTGCTGTATGTGCATGGTCTCGTTTAGTCTTTGCAACAGATTAAGGAGGGCGGGTCATTTGCCCAAGGTCGCACAACTTATGCGTGGTTTAGAGCCCATCAAAGCCAGATCTGTTTTACTGTCTACTCACCATCCAGTTACCGCTAAAAAAAAAAAATCTGCATGGCCAGTTCAGGGCCAGCTCAGTTACTTTGTAAAACTTTTACTTGGTATAGTCCTCATAAGGCAATTTTCAGAAAAAAGGCAGGAAACAGAGCCAGCCAGTGTTGGTGGTTTCAGATAAAGATAAGGGCCTCTTGAGCCATCCACTCTGTCTTATGTGGGTTTGGTATTTGGACTAATTATAATAAATAATAATAATTTAAGTGGCGCTAATGAGCCCTGTAATTCAGCACCAAAGCTGAGAGACCAGATCATCCAAACATGTTGTACTTTGTCTCCCAGAGTCCAACGTTCCTGTGATTTCTGCCATCCTTGGACACACTGAATCCTCAGACTTAATACATCATCGTTTCCTATCGAGGGGTTAGGCAGGGGTGAAAGGGAAAACATGAATTTTTCACTGGAGCTAGAAATCCTTTAATGTAATTGGGTCCAGGTTTCCCCAGGCCTGTTTTTTTAATTTATTTTTTACATTTATTTATTCTCGAGAGACAGAGACAGAGCGTGAGCCGGGGAGGGGCAGAGAGAGAGGGAGACACAGAATCTGAAGCAGGCTCCAGGCTCAGAGCGGTCAGCACAGAGCCCGACGCGGGGCTCAAACCCATGAACCGTGAGATCATGACCTGAGCTGAAGTCGGACGCTTAACCGGCTGAGCCACCCAGGCGCCCCAGGCCTGTTTTTTTTTTTTTAAATCTGAAGTCTGACTTCTTCCCAACCTTTGCTTCACATCGTTACTAAGCTTTAGATGATGGAGCAGAGGGAAGCCCATTAGGTGTCCCTGTGTCTTCCATTTTGATTGGTGACTGTCGCCACGAGAACCAGATTAAGATGCCGGACGACTGAGCTGTGCTTCCTTGGGTGGGTGTACCCTAGAGGTAGCTGAGTACTGACGAGCGCAGGGTAATTGACCTACAGAGGTAAGAAAACCTGAGCCGTATCAGAAGGGGAGACTGTGGTATTGTCCCAGCGATGTGTTGCGTGAGTGTAACAGCTTAATGTCCGACAACCACGAGGAAATGGGAGCCTTAGTAAGAGTCAAGGCTCTTTGTCTGGGTTTCCGATTGAACTTGGAGTCCTGCAACTGAGCATGACAAAACCTGGGGAAGAGCTGCAAAAATTACTGAAAATTTGGAAGGCAGGCTCTATAACTTCTAGGTGCTCACAGGTACGAGTTCTCTTGACCAGGCTGAACTGCACTTTAATTATAGCATCCAAGTTTATGGCTGATGACATTTATGTGTGTGTTTGTTCCAGCTCATATTTATTAGCTACTGTGGAGGCATAAAGGTGGTACATTCCTGCCGTGAGAGATCGTCTCTATTTCAAGCTAAGATGGGGTGGGGGAGAAAAGTAAAAAGCCCAAGTTGGAGTCAAAATGTACTTAGCCATAAGACTTTTTGAGTATTAGGGTTATAGGAATCTACCTGCATGGTAACTGAGGGGTAACTGAGGGGGTAAAAATGGGGTTTCTTGCTGAAAGACTAAGTAAGAAAGTATAGAATAGTGTATTTAGAGGGATGATGTGAGTATAGCAGAGCTTTGTGACACAAAGGCATGAAAGACCTTTCTAGACTTAGGATTCTGAGATGCTTTCTTTACCCTTGGAAGAGAACAGTTGAGTCTAGCGATTTCAGTTGCATTGTTCTCACATCTGTCATCTGATCGCTGAATTATCCCAAAATGTTCCATATGGAAATACAATCCCTACCCACCTCTCCCCAGAAAAATCCCGCTGGAACTTTTACTGGGATTGCAAAGATTGTCTTGTTTAATTCCTGGAGCACTGACATCTTTACATCAGGCTTCCAATCCATGACCATGGTAGACCTCTTCATTGTTCCTCCGCAGGGTAGAGTTTCACTGTAGAGATCTCATACATCTTTCACTAGACTTACCCCTAGGTATTCGGCGTTGTTTGATGCTCTCGCAAATGGCATCGTCATCCAAGCCCCTGGAGCGCATACCTGATAACACCTGTCCGTCTCTGTGGGCATGAGAAGCAAAGTAATTATGAGCTTCTCCATTCCCAGGGCGTCGGTGGACCTTGTTGGAACCCACCAAGGTAGAAATGCAGAATAGCTTTACTGCTGGAAACCCGCTTCAGAATGCAAAGACTGTGGCCCGGAAAGTGTTTTTTTGGTCCAACCTACATTCCTCCGGTTGGCATTCTAGCTTATTTTCCTTTCGAGTTTGGTTCACAGTTTGCCTTCCACCAAGATTTCATATCCAGCTGTCTGCTGCTTGAATCGTCACGCAGATACTTCCACCCTGCGTGGTAAAATACGTATAACTTTCGTCAGGAGGGATTGTGCTCGTGATCCAGTATTACATTAAAAAATATATAATGAAAATCAAATTTTATTCCTATAATCTATGCACTGAGATAAAAAGGTCAAAAGAAAAAAGTGTAACGGTGGTTATCTCTGGGGGACTTACTTACAGACTACTTTTGTACATGTCTCGATTTTCAAGTTTTTTATGAGAAACATGCAACCTCTTTGAACTTTTTAAAGGGAAAAAAGGAAATTAAAGGTGTGCATTCAAATGACTGGCTTGGACTGAACTTCCCACTTCACTGTGTAAAGGCTATCAGAACACACTAGTGAATTAAGACAGGTATATACCACATATCTTGAGATAATCAAGAAAGAGAAACTTCTTTTTCAGGGGTGTAAATTTCCCTGCCAGTCCTCTGGGCAGCTGTAAACTCCACTGAGGGCCAAGAATTGGCTCCTCGCACCTGGGACTCGGCAACACCTGTTTTATGTCCCCCTCCCATGATTCCTGGGCGAGACCCACCTCCCCAGTATGGGCTCCAGGGAGGTTCTCCGCGGTCCAGATGTGTCTCCCCCTTCCGCTGCTCTACTAACCCCACTGTTTATTGACAGGTTCTCAGGAATCCGATAGCTCTCAGTCGGCCAAGAAAGACATGCTGGCCGCCTTGAAGTCCAGGCAGGAAGCTCTGGAAGAAACTCTCCGCCAGCGGCTGGAGGAACTGAAAAAGCTCTGCCTTCGAGAAGCTGTAAGCAGTTCACGTTTTGTGCGTGTGTGTCCTCCTCTGTCCTCACCTAGTTAGAGAAGGCAAAGCTGGGGGTCACACGGACAGCATAAGAGGGAGGCGGGACCTCTCCTGGACCACAGATGGGGGACACTCACAGCCCCGCCAGTGCTCTGTGACGAACAGGAGTGGGCCTTAATGAACCACTAGGACAGCAATTAAAGTGGCTCTGCCCGAATCCTAAAGGGGACCCCACTGGAACCCAAATGACCGTAATGGCAGTCCCGTATAAGTACTCGGTGCACCGTAGTTGATAAGGCGTCTCCTCCTGTGATACTCGCTCAATGGATAGACTGGCTTGCCACCATGTAACTAAAATTTTTGTGCCTGAGTTTATGGCCATGGTGGTGCTTGTTTGTCTTGATTATATTTCACATTTATCTTGGGAAATCCTATTGAGAGACCTCGGTGGAGCTCAGCAAGGAAACCAAGGTTTCACTTGATATACGATCCCCTTTAAAACTCATCATCTGGTGTTCCTTTCACTTTTTCTTTAAATGAAGTCTTAGTCTGGTGAGATTTTTAAATTGTACGGAAAGCAATGCTTCCTCAAGCCTCTCTCTATACACCAGGCTCGAGTTTCCTTGGGATTTTGGCCCTGTGCCCCACCCCCCCACTGTCTGTATTTGTTTAACATTTATTTATTTTTGAGAGAGAGAGAGCACGAGTCGGGGAGGGGGCAGAAAGAGGGAGACCCAGGATCCGAAGCAGGCTCCGGGCTTCGAGCTGTCAGCACAGAGCCTGACACGGAGCTCGAACCCACGAACCGTGAGATCATGACCTGAGCCGAAGCCGAACGCTTACCCAACTGAGCCACCCGGGCACCCCAGAAAAGTTGGTTGTTTAATTCATTACTGTGCGTGGGGGGGGGGGGGTGCGTACACACACACATGGATGCGGGCACCCTGGGGAGGGCGACCGTGCTCAGCTTAACCTTATACAAAGAGCTCTGTTGGTGAAACAGTTCGGAATGGGAAGCAAAAGAGGTTCCTGAGCTGACGAGTGTCCTCCCCTCCCCTCCCCTCCCCTCCCAGCCCCAGTGCCTTGTCGCAGGAAGAGTGAAGCAAGGGGCTATAGAATGAGATCGCATTACTTTTCATCTTGGCTTAATTGCGCGCTGGCTTGATTTAAACCCGAGCCTGCTCGAAGCCGACCCACATGAACACAAATGCACTGCAAAGCTTTGGAAAGCAGCCGGCCCGGCCAGGGGATCTGCTCCCTGATAGTCTTAGCATTAGCAACCTTTTTATAGAGACTGTGCTGAAAGCAATGAAAAAATATGGGCTTGGGTGTCTGTCTGCATTTAATAATTTGTAAAGCCTTGTTTTGTTTTTAGTAAAGGAAACGTCCCTAAACCCAGCAGGGAATCAGCATCCGAAAATTGGAGAAGCCTGTCAGGGCAAGGCTAGCATGCATTATAAAGGTCTCACTGTCTCTCTTAAAATAAAAGCAAAATAAGGGAAACGGAGCTCCCGCTTCTTAGAGTGTCGACACCAGCAAACAAGTTGGGTGGAAGAAATAACCTCTCAGGAAACAGATTGCTTCTGTGCTTGCTCAGCCAGTCTCCCGACTCCCCCGCAGCGAAGGGGCGGGAGAACTTTCTCAGTAACTGCCCCGCTCTTTGTCTGTGTCACACACACCACACACCCTCAGCTCCATCTCGAGGAGCCCCGTTTGTCCGCTGGGGCGCCAGGCGGCCCGAATGCCGTGCAGTGTGGCAGGATGTAAGCAGCGTAAGAGAAGAAGGAACCAGGCCGACCCCTCCACCAGGGCTCAGCTCGTTAAAGAGCCCCTGCCCCGTGCGGGTCTGGTTCCATGTGAAATCAGACGAGTCATGGAGAATGAAGGGCTTGACTCAAACGCCTTCAAGGGGATGGTGGGAAATCAGTAGCCTCATTTTTGAATCCAGTTTGGTGCAAAACCACAGGCACTTTGGGGTTCTAAGTCAAATGGCCAGGTTAAATCACGTTCCCCTCCTTTTTCTAAGTTTCAAGGTAAAAAAATGAAAAGTCCTAAGAATATAGAACCCCCAGTGTATTGTGTTATTTATAGACAGGCTTTTAGGGAAGCAGATAAAAATGTTGCAGAATAAACACAAAACTACTTTGGAGACATTTGAACTACGTTCCCTGTTTTAGAAAACAGGGAAGAAAATCGCAGAGCATTTCATACTCAGTAGTTGGCCATTGTGTTGTGAAACGCTTACAGTGAGGAGTTAAAAGTCCAAGAGTTCATTTCCTGGTCGCCTGAACACAGAAGGAAAGAGACCCAGGAGAGGGAGCTGCCTGTGCTTATACATACACACACACACACACACACACCCTAGTCGCACACACACCCCAGTGCATCCACATCCACAGCCTAGTGCACACACACACCAGTACACACACACCCAGTGCACACACATACACTCCAATGTATGCACACACACATATAGCAGTGGGGAAAGGCCAGATCAGTCCTCCTATTAGAAAGTGGGTCCAGATGCCTGGGCGGCTCAGTTGGTTGAGCGTCCGACTTCGGCTCAGGTCATGATCTCATGGTTTGTGGGTCCAGGCCCCGTGTCGGGCTCTGTGCCAACATCTCAGAGCCTGGGGCCTGATTCATATTCTGTGTCTCCCTCTCTCTCTGCCCATCCCCTGCTCGTGGTCCCTCTCTCAAAAGAAACATTATTTAAAAATTAAAAAAAAAAAGGTGGGTCAACACCTGGGGTCCCATGTCTGGGGCTGTCCCACCCGCCGGCCACTCGTACTGGGCTGCCTGCACAAAAGCTCTTTGTGCAGACGGACAGCCGAGCTCTTCTTATCAGAGCGGCCCCTGGAGTCTCTGTGCCCTGTAGACATGGACTGACGACTGGCAACCCGGGTGGCAACCCGGGGCTGGGCTTTGCCTGGAAGCGGACCCTGTGCAGTGGAGATGCACAGTGGCCGTCCCACGTTCTCCTGGTCCCTGGAAGTGACCCTGTGCTGTTGATGCCCTGGCACTACCAGTGGAGTAGCCACTGACTCAAATCTGATCTTTATGCCCAGACGTCATCCCTACAATGGAGCCTAGTTCTAATCCTGAATCATCCACAGACCTCAGCGTCAGCCAGGATCATTGTCACTGTGGTGATCTGTCAACTAAATTCAGTGTCCTCATACTCACACAGTTCGATTTCTAGAGCTGAGAACACACAACAGATCTTTTTTAATGCCCTTGACAGTAACATAAAGTTTCAGTTTCTATTGAAACTCTAGAAATCCGTTTCTATTGATTTTTTGGTTTTGGTTTTGGATTGTTTGGGTTTGTTTTGGGGTTTTTTGTTTTTTGGGTTTTTTTTAGAGAAAGTGCGAGCGGGGGAGGGCCAGAGGTGGGGGGTGGGGGAGAGAGAGAGAGAATCCCAATGCAGAGCCTGAAGCTGGTCTTGAGCCCATGACGCTGGGATCATGACCTGAGCCAAAATCAAGAGTTGGATGCTCAACCGACTGAGCCACCCAGGCGCCCCAAAGCACATCGGTTCTGTAAAGAAAGGACTGTTCTTACAGTTTTTCTGAGACATGAAATTGTGTTTCAGGAGCTCTTAGGTGCATCACTAAAGGCGACTGTTGCGAATCTGTGCACGGAATCCATGCACCAAAGTGTGCGTGTGTGTGCACACGTGCCTTCCTCTGATTTCTCTTCTCTCTCCTGCTCTTGCACGTATGCAGGAGTTGACAGGCAAACTGCCCATTGAGTATCCCTTGGACCCGGGGGAGGAACCACCCATCGTTCGCAGAAGAATCGGAACGGCCTTCAAACTGGATGAACAGAAAATCCTGCCCAAAGGAGAGGTGTGTCCTTGATGTTGTGGGATTCTGCCACGTCAGCCATATTTGTCCCACGTGTTAGGGCTTCCAGACTTTCTGTAACCATTTCTTCATTCTCCCTGATGCCAGATGCCTTTTCCCTTTTGCTCCGGGGTATCTCACCTTTTAAGCTAGCTGGTTAGTCAGTGAGGGGCTCCCCTCCCTAGGATTAGTTACCTTGCTCCTCTGTGAACGGGGAGCCAAGTGCGTGGCTGCCTGCTGTGTGCACAGGGAAGCCAGGTGTGCTCCCAGGGGAGACAGAGGCAGGACGGAGCTGGGGACGGGAGAGCTCTTCCTTCCTAGAATAACTCTGTGCATGTTCGTGCCAACTTGGGCGTCCTTCCTTTCACTGATTCTGGACTGATCTATGCAGGGACAGGTAAGGAAGACAGGGCGGACTTCTCAGTAAGCATTTTGATTTCTGTGGAAGTTGTGTGTGGAACATGATAGGCCTGTCACAAGTGGCTACGTTAAGCTTAGGAGAACATCCCAGCAGCACACACGTGGGCCTGTCTTTTTAAGGACCTCCCAACCCTTTGTTACTGGGAGCCCAGCACAATGTGGAAGAAAACCACTAGAGAAGCAAACGGGTGCAGGCACCCCGTTGTCGGGGGGAAAGACAGCAGGGTCTGCCCTCGGTGGCCTTAACTTCACCTTGCTGCGGAAAGTGCTACCAGACTTTCAGCAAGATGCTGGGCCCTCCTAATGTCACTCGTCTGCTTTTAGGGGACCCACTGAAGCTTTGCTTTTTCATCCTCTTTGGCACTAAACGTTGGTGGGGGGCTGGGGCTGGAGAGGTCAGGACTGGGGAGGGGGGCGGGGGGAGGGTCTTGGGTCTCCCTCCGGTTAATAAGCTATCCAGCCTCAGACCAAGAGAGATTCAAGGCCAGGCAAACCTTTAGGCCTCAAGGCCATGTCCAGGAAATGTCTTCCCAGATTTATTCTGAATGAAGCTACTGATGAAAGTGCTCTTGAACAGAGGGCTTAAAAGAACAGGCATCAAAGCCAATGGAGGAGGGAATGCCACGTATGTGTTTAAATGCACAGACTCTAAAAAGTGATTGGGGGGGGCTCATATTCTTGTGTCACACCCGCGGTGGGTGAGTGTGAGGGTGAATCCTGAGGGGACACAAGTGCCCTGCAGCCGCCAGCAGGGGATCAGTCTGAGATTGGCACTGGCGGGTCCCCGGGGGACTGGCGGACACATCAGAAGCTTCATCCACATCACGAGCTGCTCTTCCAGAAGATGAACTTCCCAATCCTTACATCTCTGAGCCTGAGAAACACTTAACTTGCTACTTAACACCTGCTTAATCGTGCTCAGCGACCAAGAGTTGCTGAGCAGAGAGGAAACAGTGGAGATGCATGGCTGTGGGTAGGCCCTGGATTTTATCGGGGTCAGGACGAGGTGGGGGGTGAGGGTGGGTGGGATTCAGGAGACCACCTGGTTGGGCATTTTTCAAATCCAGCTGTCGGCAGGATTGCCTGAGGAACTGCCGTGCCCTTAGGCCGGACAGATGCCTGGCACTAAACTTACAAGAGCAGACCCCACCTTAGCGAGTGCACCGTTGTTCTTCCCGCAGCCCCGAGGGCCTTCTCACCAGTGGCTCCCTCGCACTGTCCAGGAAGAGAGGACTGTCCTTTCCTGAGAAGCTCATGTGCAGCCCTGTCTTCCTTACCTGTCCCTGCATAGATCAGTCCAGAATCAGTGAAAGGAAGGACCCCCAAGTTGGCACGAACATGCACAGAGCTATTCTAGGAAGCGAAGAGCTCTCCCACCCCCAGCTCCGTCCTGCCTCTGTCTCTCCTGGGAACATACTTGGCTTCCCTGTTCACGCAGCAGGCAGCCACGCACTTGGCTCCCCGTTCACACAGCAGGCTGCCATCTGGACAGGCAGCGCCGCGGCTCTGTGCTCGTCTCTGCTGAAGGGGCGAGAGTGCGCGTCCTGGGCTCCCACACTGGGGCGGGTCTCGGGCCAGGGCTCTCCTAACCACCCGGGAGCAGCTGCTAGCAGGAGTTACCCGCACAGAACAGCCTTTGTCCTCGGTGACTTGTTTGTTTCAAGACCCCGGGCGGGAATCCATTTCCATATTCTTCTCCCTCCGGGGAACAAGTGCAGCCAGCCCTGGAAGGAACCGGAAGGAGTTTATCAATCTCCTGAACAGTTCTGTGTAATCTTCACCTCCTCCTCCCTCCTGGGCCCCACTCCCCTCAACAGGAAATGAATCCGGCTAAGAGTTCTGTGTTGGATGGAGGCTGTCGGCCTGGTGCGTGCCTCCCACAGGCGAGCCTTTTTTTTTTTTTTTTTCAACGTTTACTTATTTTCGGGACAGAGAGAGACAGAGCATGAACGGGGGAGGGGCAGAGAGAGAGGGAGACACAGAATCGGAAACAGGCTCCAGGCTCTGAGCCATCAGCCCAGAGCCCGACGCGGGGCTCGAACTCACGGACCGCGAGATCGTGACCTGGCTGAAGTCGGACGCTTAACCGACTGCGCCACCCAGGCGCCCCTTGGCGAGCCTTTTTTTATCCGGCCCTGAGCTGGAGAGATCTGTCCATCCCGACAGACGTGGTGATGGGTTCCCACGTGATTAGGTCGCTTCCTGTCACGTTTTTGCAAGGCTGCGGATCGCCTGGGGCAGGATGCACGTGTGGCCTCCCCGGGCCTCGCGGGCAGGTACTTGAACACCCCTCTGCCGAGCAGCGGAGAGGCGGCGGGGAGTTCAGCCGCTGTGTCCGCCAGGCTGTTTTCTGGCAGCCACAGCCGGCAGGCCGGAGGGAGGTGCCCCAGGGGAGGAAGGAGAGAGCCCCGAAGCAGGGCTGCTGCGCCCCCCTGTCCGCACCTCCCAGCCCAGAGCTGCTGAGAACAAGCAGGTGTGGGCACGGCCGGAGCTGGCACGAAGGGCTTCCGAGAGAGATCCCGGTGAGCAGGGTACGTCCCAGCACAGAGGGCTCAAAATACGAGAGACAGAGGGCACGAGTGCGAGGTGGGGAGTCACACACGTGTGAGCTCCTGTTGGTGAACCCACCGCACGCCCTGCCCGGGATGGTGAGAAGCGCCAACCAGACAGGCTCCGAATTTCCACGAGGGCTTGGTGTCCACGAACCTTGCAGTGGGGATGGTGGTAACCAAGGCAGGTGGCCCCCCGCCTGCGGCAGGGGAATCTGCTTCTCAATGATGCCACCAGTGGAGAGACCGACACTTGTCTCCTAAATGTAACGGGAGCCAAGAGTCTCGAAAGTGGGGGTGCCCCGGGCACTAGCTGCCAGAGGTTTTAGGAGAAGGGCCATTGCAGGGTCAGGCGAGGTTGGGGCTAGGCCCCGGGCCTTGCTGATTTCCTAGGATGCGTGTCTCCCAAAGAGTAGGGCTCGCTGGCCCTGGGACAGGGGTGGGGAGGCGGGGTCCCCCTGCCCCGCGTCCCACTGAGTGTAAGCCCGTGTCTCCCTCCCACAGGAGGCCGAGCTGGAACGCCTGGAACGGGAATTTGCCATTCAATCCCAGATTACAGAGGCCGCCCGCCGCCTCGCCAGTGACCCCAACGTCAGCAAAAAACTGAAGAAACAAAGGAAAACCTCTTATCTGAACGCACTGAGGAAGCTGCAGGAGATCGAGAATGCCATCAACGAGAACCGCATCAAGTCTGGGAAGAAACCCACGCAGAGGGCTTCGCTGATCATCGCCGGTCAGTGCTAACTAAGCCCGCTCCCCACAGGGGCCCCTGGACACTGGCACCAGCACCAGCCCCGAGAGCGGGTCCATAGCTGGCTCCCTGCATGACCTGCGCAAGCTGTTTAACCCCCCGTGCCTTATTTTTGGTCCAGAAAGTGAAGCTTATAAGGCCCGGTAACCAGATAGGAACAACACAGCGTGTTCAGGTCCACACAAGAGGATCCCACAAACCGAGCTGTCCGGATGCCTGTCCGCTGTGCCCTGGGAGAGCCAGCAGCCGTGAGCTACATGCTCTCATCGGCCCTCACCGGGAGCTAGGCTCAGCTAACCGTGCCTGCCCAGGTTCTGATGTCCTCGGGGACCTGATCACCCTGCCCGTGTCTGGAAGGAAAGAGGGTGGCTGGGGTCCGCTGCGAGCCAGCACCCCTGCAGAACCTGTGTCCTCCACAGACGGGCTGTCTCCAAGGGCCCCCTGTCCCAAAGCCGAACCCCAGGAGGACTGGGCCACCCCACTCTGATTGTCTAGAGTCCTGAGGTCACGACTCCTGGTCAGGAGGGTTTAGAGGCTCGGGTGATTACATTTGGCAAATGCTAGAAAGAACCCCCCCCCCCCGAATCCACCCACGGCCGTTGAGTCCCCCAAACTGTTTTAATCCTTCTTTCCTATGTCAGCAAACTCTTTGAAACCTACGTCAGATACTCCTTCATGGTTTACGCATGTTGAAAGTACTTCTTCGGGAAGATAGAAAGTGGGATAGAGGTGACCAGGGGCTAGAGGGGGAGGCGGAATGGGGAGTTAGTGTTTCATGGGTACAGGTTTTGTTAGGAAGAATGAAAAAGTTCAAGGGATGGTGATGGTTGCACAGTAGTGTAAATATACTTAACAGCACTGACCTGTTCAGCTAAAAACGGTTAAAACAGTATATTTTACGGCGTGTATATTTTACCACAATTACATACGTATAAATCATATGTACTTATAACATACGTAGAGCACAATTGTGTAACCTTAAAATGTGGGCAAATGAGGGAAACAAGGCTCTACCAGGGCCTCTGACCCCCAGTTGCCCCCATCCCACCAAACAATACAAATAAAGTAACTTCGTACTTTAGAAAAACAAGAGACTGTAAAAAAAAAAAAAAAATCCTTTCTTCTAGGAAATTTGGAATAACCATCTTTCCCCATCCTGCCCTGTTGGCCTTGGCCAAGACTTTGTCACTTGCTTGCCCACGTCTTAACAGAGCTGCAGTCAGCCAGCCTTTCTCCGTCTGAGGCCTCTGTGAGACCTCCTTGGGGAGGCCCAGCTCTGCAGAAACCTCCAGCACGGTCACCAGAGCCAAGTTTGGGAGGGGTACCACAGGGACAGACCTGTCACTGGTCGGCCCCAGAAGAGCCTGGTTCCCGGCCTGCCCGGCCCAGGCAGTTCTGTGAGCGCTGACAGCAGAATTCACATTTAAACAAGTATCTGTCCCAGCGGCACATGGTCTCATGCAAATTTGCAGCCATTGTTTTTAAGTGCTCAAGAATATACTTTATTTTGCCACCGCCTCAAAATGTTTCTGCCATGCTTGAATTAGAGGAATAATTACAGTTCTTCTTAGTTCCTTAGTCTGATGTTTTATTTCTTTTCTTTTCTTTTCTTCTCTTTTCTTTTCTTTTCTTTTCTTTTCTTTCCTTTTCTTAACATTTTCCGAGAGCAAGAGAGACAAGGCATGAGTGGGGCAGGGGCAGGGAGAGAGGGAGACACAGAATCGGAAGCAGGCTTCAGGCTCCAGGCTCCGAGCTGTCAGCACAGAGCTTGACCCGGGGCTCAAACCCACAAACCGTGAGATCATGACCTGAGCCAAACTCGGACGTTTAATTGACTGAGCCACACAGGCACCCCTGGTGTTTTATTTCAAGAGCTAAAACACTAAACTTGGAACTTCAGACTGGGACCTTTGCTCGTTTTCAACAGAGCATCTCCAGACAAACTACTCCCCCTCGGTGGCCTCAGTTTCCCCAGATGTTAAGAGGGGAGGACTATTTTACTGGCTCCCTCTTGGGCACGTTCTCATGGTTAACTAGTATCTATAAAAATAAGCTTTGAAGAGATAGAAGCTATAGTTAGCAGCCTGCGTTCACCACTAACAACTTAAGAAATTTACGGAGAAGACATTTATTGCCACGAGACCAAAGCCAAGTCCTTAGCTAGTTTCGCGTGTACCAAATACATAGCAGTTCACTGCCTTTGGTTGGGTTGGAACACGCCCTGAGATCGGGCCGGGACAACGATGTGGCTTACCCAGGCCAGGCAGCCTTTATCCTGGATATTAAGCTGCTCGGCACGGCAGGGTCCAGTGAAACAAGAGTGCAGATACACAAAGACTGGCACATCGCGGTGTCAGGAGCGAGGGATGAGCTAATGACCCACCCCAGGGACTGTCAAAGGAAATGCCAAACAGCATTTTGATTGTACTCCGTGTGTTCTTTCTGATTAGAAAGAGGAGGATGTGGGACGGTCCCAGACGTATGATTTTTACAAGTAGGTCTTTGTCTAAGGGATGGGCTGAACTCATAGACTCTTGCTCTTTCTCTTCTCAGATGGAAATATTGCCAGTGAAGACAGCTCCCTCTCAGATGCCCTTGTGCTAGAGGATGGTAGGTTGCCCGTTTCCTGCTTCAGAACTCGGACACAGATTAACGGGGATTAAGCTGTATGCAGTCTGACACAGCCCGGTGGGAAGACCAGAGCCAGGGTGAGGTGACAGCAGGGTGCCCTGCCAGTCCCTGGTTCGCAGCACTCACCCATTTGGGGGTAGGTGGGCACCGCGTCAGCTCGGGTCTGTAGGAACTTCGGCATTTCCCATGGCCCAGAGGTAGGAGGTGAGGTCCATGAACGGTGTTCTCTGTTTTATAGTTGCCAAAACCGCATTAAAAAAATTTTTTTTTAGTGTCTATTTTTGAGAGCGAACACGCGTGCACGAGGTAGGGAAGCGCAGAGAGAGGGAGACAGCATCCGAAGCGGGCTCCACGCTGACAGCAGAGAGCCTGATGCGGGGCTGGAACTCACAGAACCGTGAGATGATGACTGAGCCGAAGTTGAATGCTTGACCAACAGAGCCACCCAGGCTCCCCACAGTTTTAACTAAATGCCATGTGCAGTTTCCTTTTGAGTATTCATAGTTTCTGGAGGAAAGACATGGTCTTTGGTTGGATCACAAGTCTAAGATTGAAGCCCACTAGGAAAGCCTGAGAGTAGCGGGAAGAAAAACCTTCCATACCTTCCTGAGAAATCTTGAAAACCAAAGAGAAGATGTCCCTTTAGATTCCTCGTCAGGCCTTGAAATTGTCTTCCTGTTTGCCATTGACCTCTGAAAACCCAGCGGTTATCAGGATATTTTCTTGGGAAATTCTTAGAAAAACAGAACTGATCCCCCACGCCCACACCACCACCACACACAGGGGTAGAAAGAATTCGAGGCACAGGACCATCTCTGAGAATGTTCCTGTGGGTTTAAATCAAAACTTGGGAGGCCAGGACATTGACAATATGGAAATCTATTAAGTGGCAGTTAATTTTTCTGCCCTTTAGGAAAACCTCAGGTGGGCAGTGCTGAGTGGCTGTTGAGACAGAAAACCTTAAAAGGTCTGCCCGACACATAGTCATGATGGGAATTGCAAGGATGAAAATAATTGCTATTGATGTGGGGAAAGGCTGGCAGGTTGTTTACCCAATGGTCTTGGCCCTGCTGTTAGCAATCAGGTCATAATATTTTTGTCGTCAGCATCGTTCTGCGGGTGGGGAGGAAGCCAGGCTGCGGGGGAGCAGGGAGAGGGGCTTTTAGTACGAGCAGATCTGGCCTGGTTTTGGCCTCTGTGGACTTCAGTGTCTCCAGACGAGGGAACAACAATTGAGCGAGATTCCTTTGTAAGACAAGAGTTGGGGGAGGTACGTGTTGTTGTTGGCTAACGTGGGTGCATGGATGGCGACTAGTTTCCTCCTGTGTTCCGGACCCCCTAAGGGGCGTCATCGCCTCAGTTGGACCATTGCAGGCTTGCCCCTCCTGGGGGCTCTTTGCTTTACTGATTTGAGGGGCAGGTGCATAATAGATGCTGGGTTTCAAGGTTGGGGGATGGAGAATTAGGTTTTGGATAAGAATATGAATTGTAAATGGACTGCGGGGCCAAGTGAAAGGTAGTTGGAGCTTTTGGGGTTTGCTTCTGTGTATTTTTTCCCTTCAGACCCGGCCCTCTGCCTTCACAATGAGCACTGAGTTTCCCCCCCCTCCCCCACTGCTCACTGCTGTTCCCTCACCCCCCCCACCCCCAGTTGTCCACCCTGATGATCTTCCTTAACCCCTGCCTCGTCTCTCTCCCAGCCTTGCTCACTCGGAACCCTGATGGTTGACTAGCTCTCACACAGGATTTTCATCCTGACCCCTCCGTGCTTAGGAAGTTCCAGAGTCTTCCTAGGGCTTTCAGACCACATTCCCCACTCAGCCTGGAATCAAAGAAAAGCAGAGAGAGTAGATCCCTAGAACCGCCATCAGATAATGACACGGAACATACATAACTTTCTTTCATTTTTTTTTCCTAATAAGTATTTATTGAGCATCATTCCAGGCACTGAGGTGATAGAAGCAAACGCAACAGAACCCTCCTGGAGCTGAAATTCCCCCAGACCAAATTAGACGCTTAAGGTCTATTGAATGAAAACTTTACAACATGTTAATGACTATGTTTTGCTCTTTGGTATGAAGCAGTCATTTGCTGTTGGGATTTATTGGCACTCAGGCTTTACTCCATCTGTAGCTAATCAACAGTGAAACTTCTCTCCCCATTGAAGGCTGCTGCTTGAAGTTTAGGTTTGGTTCATGACTTGTCTCGGCAACTGGGGAAACCATGGGGTGCGCTCGTTGCCTGGACGGACGCCTGTCTGGATTGTGGGGGGCGGGAGTGGAATGTGGTCATTGAGCGGACGCCTGTCTGGATTGCAGGGGGGGGGGCGGCTGTTGGGTGGGGGTGGGAGGATCTGTCTGGGTCGGTGGGAGGGACCCTTGCTCAGTTCGTCTCTCTCCATCTCTGTGCAGAAGACTCTCAGGTCACCAGCACACTGTCCCCCTTACAGTCTCCTCACAAGGGACTCCCTCCTCGACCACCGTCACACAACAGGCCCCCACCTCCCCAGTCCCTGGAGGGACTCCGGCAGATGCACTATCACGGCAGCGACTACGACAAATCCCCCATAAAGCCCAAAATGTGGAGTGAGTCCTCTTTAGATGAGCCTTACGAGAAGGTCAAGAAACGTTCCTCCCACGGCCATTCCAGGTGAGCTGGGTCGGGGAGATCACATGAGCTCGTGGGAAAAAACAAAGGGCTGTCCCAAATAGCACCCACAAGTTTCAGAATCCGCACCAGCTTATTCCCTCCCTCCTGGGGCGGCCTTAAAACAGTGCTGCGCTCGCAGCGCCCTCTGCTGCTGACCCTGTCAAGGTGCAGATCGGTCGTGCAAAAGGGAATGGGGGTTTGGGCCTCACAGTGTCTTGGCAGATGGTCTTAATGTTGTGAAATGACACGGAAATTAACGAGGGAGGCCTAGGCAGCGCCCTTCTGAAAAGGCAAGAGAGAGTCTACTCCCAAGGAATCCCAAAGTGGTTCAGAACCCTACAGCATCATCCAACAGGATTCCAGGGCCAGACAGCTGTAATCTTAGCCGTGCATTATCAGCTCATTACTCAGCTGATACTGCAGAGAGATTTTTGGAAGGCATTTTGGTCTGTTTCTCTGTTTTTCTCATTTCCTTTAATTACACCCTTTAAAGCTCCCAGTGGCTGTCCAGACAGGTAAATATTTGTCCGCTGGAAAACAGAAACTGTGGCTGAGGGCAGGGACTTCACAGAACAGTCCACTGCCTGTTATGCACAAGGCTTATGCACAAGGCTGATGAGGTTTTCTTTCTTTTTTTTTTTTTTTTTTCTTTTTTTGAAGATTTTTATTTTCTAAGTAATCTCTCCATCCACCGGGGGGCTTGAACTCACAACCCTGAGATCAAGAGTCGCATGCTCTTCTGACTGAGCCAGCCAGGCGCCCCCACTAGGGTCTTGGTTTCACGCTGTGGTGCAGGTCGGGGCCGAGGACCCCCCCCCCCACAACTGGGGCGAAGGCTGAGAGCCAGAATAGGAATCTGGGGGCGGGGGGCAGACCCAGGCGAGCTTTCCCGACACCAAGGCTGGGGTCCGCGGCCGGGCAGCTCCCCGGGAAGAGGTGCGGTCGTGTGTGGCCGTGACCAGCCTGGCATCCTCTGGTTTGCAGCACTCACAAGCGATTCCCCAGCACGGGCAGCTGTGCAGAAGCAGGCGGGGGCAGTAGCTCCCTCCAGAACAGCCCCATCCGCAGCCTCCCTCACTGGAACTCCCAGTCCAGCATGCCGTCCACACCAGACCTGCGGGTCCGGAGTCCCCACTATGTTCATTCCACGAGGTGAGTGTACCAGGCCTTTGGGCCACCTCCATCCCTAGACCAGACCTCCCTTTGTTAACCTGGGCAATGCCCCCCAAACTGGCCCAAAGAACCGGTAAACTGGGGTCAGGCCGGAACCGGTGAGGCAGGTTCTCATTAACGCAAAGCGGGATGAAAAATCCGGGACGGCAGCGGTGAGCCCCTGTTACCTACGAGACCCGTTCGTATCCCAGGGTCTACATCCGGGAGTCACCTGGGAAATCTCCAGGCTTCTGGAAACAGTGGGCATGGAGGGAGTTTCCTCTTTTTTAAAATTTTTTTAAAGTTTGTTTATTTAAGCAATCTCTACACCGAAAGTGGGGCTCGAACTCACAACCCCGAGATGGAGAGCCACATGCTCTACCGACTGAGGCATCCAGATGCCTCACGGAGGGAGCTTTCCTAATCAAAATGGAGGCAGGAGAGGCTATCCAGATCAGCAGGGAACATGCTGGAAACGGAACGACCTTGCACTGATAGGGGGTGATATTTATTCTCTAGTCTTCATGTGTCTTCCCGCTGAGGCCTGGACTTTTTAATGTCTCAGGGTGTAAATTCATTGAAGAGGAAAAGGAACTGGCAGAAGTGAAGTGTGAAGCACTCCTGCATTTTCTTTCTTTTTTTTTTTTTTAAATTTTTTTTTCAACGTTTATTTATTTTTGGGACAGAGACAGAGCATGAACGGGGGAGGAGCAGAGAGAGAGGGAGACACAGAATCGGAAACAGGCTCCAGGCTCTGAGCCATCAGCCCAGAGCCTGATGCGGGGCTCGAACTCACGGAGCGCGAGATCGTGACCTGGCTGAAGTCGGACGCTTAACCAACTGCGCCACCCAGGCGCCCCTTCTCCTGCATTTTCTGAAAAGAGGCACAACCAAAGCCATCATTTGATTTGATCAAATTGCGTAGGGATTTGCATACGCACTGATTGCGTAGGGACTGTGGCTCCAAGGATGGTTTATATAGGATAAGATGGAGCTCGCCGGGCAAGACCGATTCATTCTTTCAGGTAGCATACTTGTCACTTGCCTGTATGCACCAGGTATCACCGTAGGGACAGAGCAGTGAACGAAACAGACCATACTCCAGCTCTCAACGGACTGACGTTTTAGTAGGGGAGAGTGGCAAGAAAGAAAAAGGTCTGTCCCGTGGTGATACGCACTAAGAAAAACGGACAGGGGGCTACATAGTGAAAGGCAAGAGTGACCGTTAAGTGACAGCATCGGGGCAGTTCTCTCTAATAAGGTGACATTTGTGTAGACACCTGAATGGATGGGGTAGCCAGTTCTGAGGATACATCCGAGAAGAGCAAGGTCAGAGGCCCAGGGCCAGGCCTGCACTTAGCATGTCCCCTGGGGGGGCTAGAATGGCCGGAGCAGATGACCGAGATCGTGGAGAGGAAAGTGAGGCCTGAGCCCCGAAGAGCCGCTCGGTGGGGACTTCACGTTCTACCCCGAGTGGCAGAACAGGAGCTCACCTCCTCCTGTACTTGGCCAGTGGGGCCGCCCTGAATGTCACATGTGTCCTAGCATTGTCCACCCCTGTGACACTGATGGATGTTTACAGTGTGGACTATAAGCAGAGTGGATCATAGACAAAGTAGTGGCATGAGGAGTGTGTGCAGCCGTCAGGTTTAAGTGTTAGCTGCTCCGGCCGCCCAGTTGAGAGTTCCGGGCGAATGGGAACCTACGTGGGTTTCCTAACAGTATCTGGTTGAACCCTGTGAAGTGCGCTAAGTCGGCCTTTCTCTTGCTCTTCAAAGAGAGGGCATTTCATCTGATGGCACGGATTCTCCTGGTTCTCTTTGCATCTATAGAATCCTTTTGCGCCGTTTAAAAAAAAAAAAAAAAAAAAGCCAGGCTATTAGGGTGCCTTTCCAGAGGCCACCTTTCTGTGGGTGCCGTCCGCTGTCCCGCCCCCGCGCATACTCGAGCATCCAGTCGGGGGATCTGCGGTCCCTCCGGCCCCTTGGCTTCGCCCGGCGGGACTCCCAGGGCCACCAGGCTCCCGCCCAGCTCTCCTCGGTGCGGTTCGCCGGCGGCTCTGGACGGCGGGTTCTGTCCTTGCCTGGGTCCCACGAGCGCAGAGCCTGCGCCCACCCCGTCCCCCCAGGCGCCCCTCCCCGGGGCACCCCCCACCCACCCGCCCGCCGTCTCCCCGCAGGTCGGTGGACCTCAGCCCCACGCGGCTGCACAGCCTCGCCCTGCACTTTAGGCACCGGAGCTCCAGCTTGGAGTCCCAGGGCAAGCTCCTGGGCTCGGAGAACGACACGGGGAGCCCCGACTTCTACACCCCGCGGACTCGTAGCAGCAACGGCTCCGACCCCATGGACGACTGCTCCTCCTGCACCAGCCACTCGAGCTCGGAGCACTACTACCCGGCGCAGATGAACGCCAACTACTCCACGCTGGCCGAGGACTCGCCGTCGAAGGCGCGCGCGCGGCAGCGGCAGCGGCAGCGGGCGGCGGGCGCGCTGGGCGCCGCGAACTCGGGCAGCATGCCCAACCTGGCGGCGCGCGGCGGCGGCGCGCACGGCGTCTACCTGCACAGCCAGAGCCAGCCCAGCTCGCAGTACCGCATCAAGGAGTACCCGCTGTACATCGAGGGCGGCGCCACGCCCGTGGTGGTGCGCAGCCTGGAGAGCGACCAGGAGGGCCACTACAGCGTCAAGGCGCAGTTCAAGACGTCCAACTCGTACACGGCGGGCGGCCTGTTCCGGGAGAGCTGGCGCGGCGGCGACGAGGGCGACGCGGGCCGCCTGACGCCGTCGCGCTCGCAGATCCTGCGGACTCCGTCGCTGGGCCGCGAGGGCGCCCACGACAAGGGCGCGGGCCGCGCCGCCGTCTCGGACGAGCTGCGCCTGTGGTACCAGCGCTCCACGGCCTCGCACAAGGAGCACAGCCGCCTGTCGCACACCAGCTCCACCTCCTCGGACAGCGGCTCCCAGTACAGCACCTCCTCCCAGAGCACCTTCGTGGCGCACAGCAGGGTCACCAGGATGCCCCAGATGTGCAAGGCCACGTCAGGTGAGCGGGGGCCTTGGGGGGGAGGGCGGGGCTCCGGACATTCTGAGATCGTTAGTTCCAGAAACCTGGGCTGTCAGACGGCTGAGACTGGGGGCCTTCGGGTCCCCTCTCCTTCACACGCTCCCGTCCCAGCCCTGGCTTTGGGGGACAGAGATCTCCGAGCCGGTGGGGGGGGAGGGGGCAGCGCCTCCGACCCTCCCCAGCGGGCTGGGCCAAGTTGCCCCCGGTTCAGCATCCTAGGTAGAGATGCGAACCCTCCCTCCGGCCGCTTCTTGTAAGGACAGACATCAGAGAAGCCCCGTGCCGACGTGGCTCGGGGTTTGTTCCAGTCAAAGGTGCACCTTTACCCTGGTGAAGAGACACTAGTACGTTACAGACCCGAGTGGCCCCTTCCAGGGGGACACTTGTTCCAGGCATGGCCTTGCGTCCTGGAGCCTTGGAACTGGGCCGTGTCCCCTGGGTGGGACCGACTGGTGGGGGGGAGGGGGGAAGGGAGGGTTAAAGTCCCAACTGCTCCTGGGTTCCCATGTCAGGGATGTTAGGAGGTGACCAAAAGAATTTTTATAAAGTGCTTTCAGTACCTCGATACTACACCGTTAAAGCTTTCATAATTGGGCTTTTTTCCTTGTACTCAGAGCATTGAGCAGTGCCAGAACATAAAAAAGTAAAAGCGGAAAACACCACCCTTTGCTTCAGAAGCTAGTAGCTTCTCTGGGAAAGAACAGCGGTGACAGCCACCCCCAGTGCTCAGCAGTGACTGCAGGGCTCGCAGCACACTTGGGCCGGGGCAGCGGCGGGGGGGGGGGGGGGGGGTGCGCAGCGCAGGCAGGAGGCTCTGCTTAGACTACAGAGAAAGAAAAGGGAGGCAGCTGAGACATAATAAAATGATTTTTTAAAATAGAAGAATAAAATGAGAGTGATCAGCACACAGAAGGGATTCCAAGTCAGGATCTGACTTGTGATGGGAAAGAGTTAAGTAAGGATAAAGATCGGGAAGGACAGAAAATGGGGTTCACCTTTGGGGAACAGGAGGGGATTCTCGGGCCTTGGGATGAATGGGACAAAGAGGAGGGACCGGCCGGCTGCCTGGGCGCACCAGGCCTCACGGCTCCCGCATTCTATGCCCCGTGCCCCCAGTGACTCATTTGTTTATTATGGCGGCACATTGGCCAAATGACAGGTTCCAGAGAGGAGAACAAAAGTGATTCAGGCAGTCATGAAAGAAACCGTGGACTTGGAGGTCCTAGAACCTTCTCCGTGTTCCTCCTTCATCTATAAAATAAGCCCAGTGAAACTCGCCCGGGACTTCGCAGGAGGGTTTGGAGAAAGAACGAATGAGTGCGTTGCTCACATCATTTAAAAAACATGAGCCTCTGTAACTGTTCAGAGCACTAGCAGTCTGACAGGAACAAGGAACCAGGAGTGTTTCCCTTCTGTCAAAACTGTAGCACTTGCCTGGTGATGAGGTAACTCTTTGGGAGCATATTTTAGAAGTTGTAAACATATTTCGAAGGTCTAAGAAGCCGTATCTGAAGTTTAATGAGAAAGATACTTTGGAGAAGACTGAATTGGCCAAAAGTCGGGGGGGGGAGGGGATCGCCCCCACTGTGACCCTGCCACGGGGTCATACCCAGCATCTCTGGAAAGAAGCTCCTTCACTGGACCTGTCTGGCCCCCCCTTTTCTGCATCACCCCCCGCAGCTGCCTTACCTCAAAGCCAGAGAAGCTCAACGCCGTCGAGTGAAATTGGAGTGACGCCCCCAAGCAGTCCCCACCACATCCTGACCTGGCAGACTGGGTGAGTCCCCTGTTCAGACCTTCTGCCCCCCCTTCTTCCAGCCTCTAGAATGATCAGCTTTCCTCATCGGTTGGCAAGGATGTCCTAGACACAAGATCCTCGTTGACAGAAGGGTGTACCCACCAAAAACGTGAGCGTTTGTTCCCGGGAAACCCCTTCCTTCCCAAAGCCGCTGCGTGAACGCTGTCACCTCCCACCTGGCTCCTTTCCGCCCCTGTCCGTGCAGACGGGCCAGTTCTCTGGGCTCCCTCTTCACCCTGGCGGCGGTCCCAGGAACGTGGGGAAGGCGGGTGCCGGAAGTCAAGCGGCACCGCTTTGGGCAGAATTCCACGCGGCGCTTGATTGGTGTTCAGATTCTCTCAGGCGGACTTCAGGGTGCGGGGCAGGAAGGGGAGAGGGGACCTGAGCTACTCTTGCTTCTCGCCCTGCCCCCACCTTAGAATCAGGACGCGTCTGAAGGAAGAGGGCCTGAGGCTCCGAGCCCTTCTCTGTCCTGGCTCCAGCTGCTTGCTCTTAACCCACAAACCAAGGGGATCAGGCGCAGGTTCCCTGAGATCTTTAAGAAGGGACGCACAGCAAAGTAATGAAACCAAAATTCCGTTCCTTTTATAGCTGCCAGCATAGGCATAGAGCGTTCTAGTCTCGTGGACGGTTAGACGTTCTGACCCCTGACGTCCAGCAGATACACGTACATCGCTTTCCTCACGATCCCTGCCTCTTCTGTTGGTCCTCACACGTCCCCTCGGACTGGCTGTTAGGTTCTGTCCGCGCCCGCTGGGTCAAGGGGTGAGGGATCCCTTGACCGGGCTCTCTTCAGTTTCTAGTTTGCTGGAGGGCCCGTGGGGAAGCCTGGAAAAAGTTGACGGCCGTCTGGGAGTTGAATCCTAGGACAGCAACAGGACCAGAATGGGCTCCACTGGCTGCATTCGGGCTCCCGTGCCTGGCAGACGTTTTTGTCTCTGTAAATTTCTCCGGGGTGACTTTAAACCAGGCTTTACGGGGCCTTAGTATTTGACAGAAGGGAAAGGGATGCTGACGTGTATCGAGTGCCTGCAGTGTACTCAAAGGCTGGGAGCTTTTTCTGACATTTATAAGTTTCATATATTCTTCGCTGCAACCTTGCGAGGGAAAGAGCCGATCTCTTAGTTGTATTGATGAGGCTTAGAGAGAGTAGGTGCTCTGCCCGGAGTCCCACAGCTGAACGAAGCCGCGTTCTCTGACCTCCGGAGTCCTGTCCTCTTCCACCGGCCAGTGGTTCTGAGAGAGCTGCCCTCGGACCGGCAGCTTTGGGATCTTGTTACAAATGCAGACGCTCCGGCCCATCCATGACTTACTAAATGAGACAAGAGGGGTGGGGTGGGGTGGGCAGGGCAGTGTGTTTTAACAAGGCCTCCAGGGGATTCTGATGTCTGCTCAAGTCTGACTCCCTCAACTATAGCCCATGATGCCTCTTCCTCCTTGTGAGTCAGGAGAACCCATAGTCCCAACCACAGTGATTTGTGTCCACTGCCATTTCTTGGTCTTTGGGGCGGCAGCTACCCTCTCCGTCCTTATTACAGGTCGTTATGACCCTCCCTCCCATACCATCCACGGGTCGGGTCCATCACGCGTGGTCGGGCAGCTACTGCAAGGCCTCAGGCCCGAGAGTGGCACGGAGATTAAATTCATAGGAGAAAGTACGCCAGACCTTGTGTATCTTGGTATCTCCAGTGGCCCAGCCATTTCACCCAAATAAGGAACTTCCCATTTCAGGGTCTTTGTCAGGATGGTCCACATTTTCTGAATCCTGCCCAGTCTCCTCTAATCTGATTATATGACTGTTATTTGCAGGAGGGCAGGCCTGAAAGGAGTGAACGCCCTTGAGCTGGCCTTGAAACCCGCCTGTGTTCCACCACAAAGAGCTAGTGAGGAGGCTGGGCAAATTGGAAACCAAGCTGTTTGGGTCCTTGAAGTAAACGTTTATCAGATTGAGGAGGTGTTCTCTGTGACGTGATAGGAAAAGGAGAAATGGATACAAAGTGCCAAAGCCCGCCTTCCAAACAAAACCAAAGAGGAGGCCTTTGAGTCACTCTTGGGTCTTGAAAGTTCTGCGTGAATTCTGTTATTTGTCACTAACGCTTGGGTGTATAGTCGACTGATCTTTGCAATGTATTAATAAGCTACTAATCATGTCTGTGTCAGTTCCTCTCTTTAACATGACCTCTCTTCTCTTCCTTCTTCTGCTTTCCTTTGTTCAGAGAAGCAACAGAAAACTCACCCATTATGGATGGGTCTGAGTCTCCAACTCACCAAAGCACTGATGACTAGAGGTATTGTAAGGGGGTGTTCGGTTCTCCCCGCCCTCTCCCCCCCCCCCACCGCTGCTCACGAGTGTGTGATCTCACATGTGCTGCATGTGTCGCCCTTGCCCGCATCGTAATTTCCAGAAGCAGCTTCTGAATGGTGTGGAAGGCGTTATTCTTCTGTCTTATTTCTAGATACCTGGGGAACTCTATGTTTATATGTTTTGACATGAGATGTTAGATATTCCCACTGCCACTTCCCAGAAAAGACCCCACTGTGTGTCGTAGCCCTTCCCAGACTCTGTGTACGCAGATACTTGCAGAAGCTTTTACTGGTGTCATGGTCAATGTCCAGGAAAAGAGGAGCGTCCTACAGTTTACACGGCAAAGCACCTAAACCAGACTGAGTTGATCCAATCATCTGCACGTCACCCCTGTTTTCATCCTGCATTCCTGAGGGACAGATGTATACTCGGCCACATGGCCTGCTGTCCAAAATGTCCCTAGATAAGCATCACCGTCCTCACTACTTGGGAGCTCGTTGGAAATCTGGACTCCTGGGCCTACTGAATTTGGGTCTGCATTTCAACGAGACCCCTGGTCAATCCAAGGCACATTCCAATTTGCACAGCACTGCCACGGTGGCCATAAAACCCGTGCTACCTTGTCTGGGTCTGGTTACCAGGGACCAGAATCTAACTGGCAGACAAGATGTTGAAATTTAAATAGCATTGCAAAGGTCAACTAAAAAGATAAGGATACCGTTCAGAAGTGGATAAAAAGTTGTAAACTTATGTAACCAGAAAATTAAAATCCTATGTTCCAGGAACCATGCTGGAGACCAGAGTTCCAAGGGGAGGGGAGGACCCTGGCTCCAGGGCCATACCTCTTGAACCGGGCCTCCACCTCCACGGCCTGGGGTGGAGGGACCTGGAGACGGGCCATTGCAGGGGCAAAAACACAGATGTACGCACAAGCAGGGCGTTTGTTTGGTAAACACCATGTTGCTGTAGATAAGGAGCCAGACTTCCACCTGTAAGGTGGGATGAGGTAAGGAACAGTTCCGAGGTGGCAGATAGGGGATTAGGAAAACAGGGGCTTAGCCTTGGAGGGGGAGATGGTGTTAAGAAAGCAAACATTCTGCTGAGGCAGTCCGAAAGATTCTGTTGGCTTTATTCATCGATTTATGAATGAAGCAGCCTCTTGTCTAGCAGAAGAAAGTTGCTCAGAGGAACTAGGCAAAATGAGACTTTTATAGCCAGGAGGGAGAGGGAACAAGGAGGCTACACTAGACAAAAATCGGTTGGATATGGCCAAGTCACTTTCCTTTAGGGAATGGCAGGGGTCGGTCAGGCAGATGCCCTGACTGGTTTAAGACTCCATTTCTGAGAGAGCCGAAGTTCGGTGAAATCTGTTCTGTGACGTGGACCTTAGCATGAGTGACTCATTTGGGGCCTATTTTCTTGTTTTCAACATGTCCCTCCTTTTGATCCGATTCTCAGCCTGAGAGATGGGATCACACCTTAAGGCATTAGGGCCGCTTCCCTCTAAAGCTCGGGAGTTCTCGTGGTCTTTTGCCAAATGTCTGTGTGGTATTCACGGGTCATGACCTCAGTTCGTTCTTTCCGTCGGTCATTCTCTTTGTTCCTTTTCTGAAGTTCTGTTCTTAGGGGGATGATTTGCTAGGTGGTTAATGGCTGCGAACATGGATTGAAACCTTTTGAGGAAAAAAAAAAGGTAGACGACTGTCATTATAGCAGGATCGTGCCCACTGTCTGGAGTGCACATTTAAAAAAATTTTTTTAACGTTTATTTTTGAGAGAGAGTGCACGTGAGTGGGGGAGAGAGAGAGCAGGACACAGAATCCGAAGCAGACTCTGAGCTGTCGGCACAGAGCCCGACGCGGGGCTCGAACTCACGAACTGTGAGGTCATGACCCCAGCAGAGGTCGGACACTTAACCAACGGAGCCCCCCAGGCGCCCCTCAAGTGCACTTTGGAGCCGTGGTCCCCAAGACCCAAACCAAAGGAAGACCCCACTGAAGGAGTCGCTTTCTTAAGTCAGCTGGCTTGTGTAGCCGCGTGTCAGCTCCCCCAGAAGCATCTATCCTAGGAATTACTGGTAGGTGGCTATTGCTTTAGCAACGGATTCTGCAACATCTTCAGGAGTGCAGGAGAGGTTCCTAACTGTAGCCTCATTTGCACTTACTCCTGTCTAGGGGTTCTGTCAAGGGAAGCAAACTTTGAATATGAATCCTTCATGCTAATTCCTATTTAAGGCTTGGGACTCCCAAGAGCACCACCATGGAGACCAGTAAAACTTGAGGGGCTGTAGACCCCCCAGGTGGTTTTATTTGGTTACCCTTCCCTTGTGTCCCTGTCTTTGGATACAGCCTGGATGCCAAGTTCCCTGGGTCAGAGGTTCTTAACCGGGGACTGTGACATGACGGAGAAGGGGCTGGGTTTGGCCCGGAGAAACCGAAGCAGTGGGAGTGAGGCAGAAGTTTGTGACGGGCAGAACTATGGGATCACAAGCACCATGGGAAATCCAGTCTTTTGGAGGTTAGATCACCTTTCTCTCTGCAGTGGCCTGAGCTATGTGAACAAGCACATTACCTTTTCAGGGCGGGGCAAGGAAAATGGTGGACAAAATCTTGAAGACCCTTCAGGGAGTAAGACTTAGGTAAAAGATGATCAGAAAGCGAACGAGGAAAGAAACTTTGCTTCTTCCCAAGATGGGGGGTAAGAGTCGACCTCTCTTGCTGGTGCATTTGAGTTTGAGGTCTCCGGCTTTTGTACCGGACCCAAAGTCAGGTGGAGCCTTCCTCAGTTGTGACATAGGCACCCCAGGTTCAACACCTTCTAATTTGGCAGGAATGTCAGCGGTCCAGAGTTCTTGGTAGGGTTCTTTCCATGCGTTTCAGTTTTGCAGAATCATCAGAGTAAAACAATCAAGGGTCTGTAAAAGACAAAATGCTAAAGTTCCGATTGTAGTTCACTATAACGGAATTGATGAGGAAATCTGGTTACTTCTGTGATACACACAATTTAAAGATAATAACTAGATGTCTGAATAATATTATACCAGGACATATCAGATTTCTAGACACTTGATACAATTTTAGACTGTTTATACTAATAACATGATCCATACAAATAATCTAATAAGGTTTTTATCACGTATTTGACAATGCTTCCCATGTAGTTTAACACAGCAAATAAACCTAATTAGTATAGCATCTTTTTTTAAGGTGAGAGACAAATCCTTTGGGATTTCCCAGGGACACTCTAGGAAAATCTCAAATTTCTAGGGAAATCTCAAAGTTACCTTAAGGTCAGGAAGACACCCTTGAGAATCTGGTTACGAGAAACTGTCTAAATATCAACAGGTTTGAACACAGGACTAAATAGGATCACAGATCATTATGAAAGAATACTTCATTAACATCCTGTCACTTTGGTTAGGTAGATAAAGGCAAATAGACAAAGTGACAGAGTTGTGAACAAAACTTAGCTCTTTTACTAGTGAGAAGACTGGGTTTTCTTATGGAATGGACGACTTCATAAAGACCACATGAAGCACGATAAATTATTTTGCTACAACACAAAATCTTGGCTGTCCAGGCCGATTACTTGAAAGGTAAATCTTTTACAGTTGCTTATCAAAATCAGACCAAATGTCCAAGAAGACTTAGTCCTTTCAAGAGAAAACCAAATTCTATTTTTGCACCCGTGTGCTTTGGATGATAAAACGCATTGGGGCACGGGGGTGGCTGGGTCAGTTTAGTGTCTGACTTCAGCTCAGGTCATGATCTCACGGTTCAGGAGTTCAAGCCCCGCATCACACTCTGTGCTGACAGCTTGGAGCCTGCTGCGGATTCTATGTGTGTGTGTCTCTCTCTCTCCCTCTCAAAAATTAACATTTAAAAAAAAACCCTCATTAAAAAACTTAAATCCATTCCCATCTTAGCCAACTTGACCGCATATCAAATTCCCTTCGCAAGATTCCTTTTCCACAAACCACCTACCAGTTTTTTAGATCCGTTCAGATTTTGTTCCATGGAACAAAAAATTGGTAGGTGGTTTGTAGAAAAAAGAATCTTGGGAAGTAATTTGAGAATGTGGTCAAGTTGGCTAAGAGCAACCAGTCATTTTGCTTCACTTGCCTACTTTTCATCCACACTTATAATTTATAAGTAATTTTAATTACATATATTGATGAGAATTCTTAACCCTTAGAATTCTTCATTTCTAGTAAAAACTATTAGCAATCGTGAATGGTCTCTTACACTAACGTTCTGTAGATTTGCAAACTTATAAATACACTTCATGATTTCTAGAAGTAAATTCTTCTTCATAGTAAACTTTTCCATATGGCCTCAAACAGGTGTACTAATAGGCCCAAATATCTTTATGGCCTCTGGAAAAGGAAGTGAAAAGTGGATAAATCTGTGTCCAGTAATGAACACTTTAGTATTTTATTTGGAAATGAGTCAGTGAAAGTCCATCCTTAACTTAGCTCACTATAAACTTTCAGGCTTCAAGTGACCAAAAAGATTTTGCAAACTTAAGAGAGAAAGAGAGCACAGGGGAGAGGGACAGAGGGAGAAAGGGAGAATCTCCAGCAGGATCTGCGACTGGAACAGAGCCCGACACAGGACTCTTATCTCATGACAGTGAGATCACGACCTGAGCCAAAATCATGTGTCAAACGCTCAAGCAACTGAGCCACCTGGCGACCCCTGGAGACTATTTCTTAAGCAGACTGACCCATAAGCATAACTATTGTTGAAAAGTTCATTTATGAACCTTTATCATCCTTCTGTTTAATTTTCTTGTTCTTAATTTTTAGATTACACCTAACATCTCATGAGCATTAGACAGCTGACTGTCATCTTAAATGATCTTTTTGTGACCAATTCCGTAATAGACAACATGACCTTATTTGACTTTTAGTTAACCTAGGAAGTAAAGGGGTATTGTATTTCACGCTGGTAATTCTAAAGACATGCCTATTGTAATGAAACTAAGCAACTGAAATTAGCTTTCATTTCCCGAAGATTACCCTAGACCACGTGAACTTGAGAAACATTTGGGCTTTTATTCTTCCTAGAGTGTACATCATCTGTATAGCCCTTGTCTGTCTTTGAGCCAAATAAATAGAGCTCTTGACCAATTCATTTTGTCAGTACCATCCAGAGGCAGAGAAGATCCCACGTGTATCACAGGCACACATACAAGATCATGGACACAGATACAAAGATCTTAGAACTTGTGTGTGAAATTTTTAGCCATGAGACAGGTGAAATACTGTAAAACTCACCCATTTATAAGAGGATCACATTCACATCATGCTTCTGGTAAAAGGGTGAGTCAAGGGGACTTCAACTTTTCACTGATACTTGTGAAGACAACATTTTCCACCTTGGAGAACACCACTCTGCCACAGTTTTTCCCTTCTGATGAGAACAACTTTGATTCCTAGAGAAAACCAAACATAACACTTCCATCTCTACGGCACAGAGAAGGAACACAAGTTCGGTGAAGAAGGAATATCATTACCCTAAGGCCAGAATTTTACAATACCCACAAGCCTTTTGAGATGGATAAGGGGAGGTTTGGGGATTGGTAAAAATGATAGGTGGGCTTTGAATTGCTTCCATTTGAATTGCTACATTTCTGTTCTTGCAAAGACTTGAGTTGCAAGACAACAGGTGTTTGTTTTTAACATTTATTTATTTTTGAGGGAGAGCACGAGTAGGGAGGGGCAGAGAGAGACACAGAATCCCAGCCAGGCTCCATGCCTTCAGCACAGAGTCCAATGTGGGGCTTGAACTCACGAACTGTGAGATCGTGACCTGCGCCAAAATCAATAGTCAGACACTTAACAATCTGAGCCACCCAGGCACCCCAAGACAACAGTTTTTAATTTCTCAGAATTGGGTTGCAGCCTGAGTGACATCACAGTCTCACCCACCCATCCTGTTATGTTATATTCAGCTTCTTTATCTCAGGGAGATCTTTCTCTAAGATGGAAATCATTAGGTTTCCACTAATTTAGAGCTGCTGATCTTTGTGATGTTCTTTCCCTCTGGGTACGTAGTTCCATTTAGTCTAGGGGGTAAGATCTAAAAGAAAGTTTCTGTCAGGCTCTGAATGTCAGCTTCCAATGTAACCAACATCTGACCACAGAGCTATTTTACAAATCCTTTCCTATGTCCTGTCCCGTTTCAGGTGGGACACTCAATATTCCTGGCAGTATGAACCCCATGGATGCAAAGGCATCCGCAAAGAGGGTGCAAAGCATACTCCCCCTCCTGAGATGCACAGCCATTCCCAAAGACGGCCAAAAGGAATACAGGTGTCCCTGGAGAGTAATAGGTCTAGATAAGGCAAGGAAGGGAATATGAAATTTCACAGTCGTCTCTCAAATGGGCACAACAGAGGGGCGCCTGGGTGGCGCAGTCGGTTAAGCGTCCGACTTCGGCCAGGTCACAATCTCGCGGTCCGTGAGTTGGAGCCCCGCGTCAGGCTCTGGGCTGATGGCTCGGAGCCTGTTTCCAATTCTGTGTCTCCCTCTCTCTCTGCCCCTCCCCCGTTCATGCTGTCTCTGTCCCAAAAATAAATAAAAAACGTTGAAAAAAAAATTAAAAAAAAAAAAATGGGCACAACAGAGACTGAGGAAAGGTGCCTCTGGTGAGGATCCCCACCCTTTGCCCGCTTCTGCCACTTCACCAGGACCTCCCCTGCAGGGTCCTCCTAAGCAAGCGGAGCGTACAGCCCTGGTGGCTACCAGAATAGGGCAAGGCTTTCCATAAATTTCAATTTTAGTTTCCCATTGGCTGTTTAATAGAGTAATAGGTAGCAGGTTCCCAGAAAAGCCCTGAGTTCCGTCAGCTCTGAGAAGGACTCATACAGAGGCCCACATTTGAGGCCAGTAACTGGGCAGACTTTTGGCTATGGTCATATAGTCCCTTCCGAGCAGAAAGGCAGCTCAGAGGTTTAGCAGACCACGAGTCCTCCAAGGCACAGGAGGGTGGGGGGAAGCAGTAAGAGTCACATCAATCTTTAGACTCAAAAGGACCAGTGACTGCACCTTGGTCCAGGAAAATTCCCAAGTGGCACAGAATTTTCCTAATGGGGTTTGAGTGATGCTGTTAGTCTTTTCTACTAGTCCCGGAGGTTGAGGACGATACAGCAAAGCCGCCTCTGAGGTGGAGAAAGGACTACGTGGCCAGGAAAATGACTTCCAAGGTCACTGTGCAAAACAGGGGGAGGCGCCACATGTAGGATGATGTCTGCATATAATTTTTTTGCTACAAAACTGGCAGTTTGTTGGCAAAAAAAGCTTCTACCCAGTGAAAAACATCTAGACTGTGACCAATATGTATCTGTTCACTTGTTCTTAACGATTATGTTTATGTTAGTCATGAAAATTTCTCAAGACCTTAAACAGCTGGCCAACATCTTAAGTTATCTTTCTGGCTAACAAATTTTGTAACAGAGATGACATGAATTTAAATAACTAGTAAACACAGGTAGAATAAAAGTTGTTTCCTACGTTATATTTAATGCTGATAACTCTGAAGACATTACTATTTTAATTAAACCTACAAACCTGAGCCTTTATTTACTGAGGATTTATCCTAGGTCACATGAACTTGAAAAATATGTGTGTTGTTTTTCTATTTGTGACAGTTTTAGAATACGTCATTTAATAAGTACTTCTCTTTAAGCAAATTAATTAAAACTCTTTTACAAACTAAGTTTAGCAATACTGCCCAGAGCCAGAAAAAAATGTCACGCATTTACAACATCGATCCCTAGACACATAGGTGGATAGAGATCCTAATCGCTTTTGTTTTAAATTTTAGCCATGAGACAAGTATGATCATGCAAAACTCATTCATTACTAACAGAACAGTTGGAATAATTTCAGGTTACCTGCTCAGACAGCCAAGGCATCTGTAGCGAAGACATTTAAGATGTTCATTGGCCTAAGTTCCAAATAGCCTTACCACCCCCCACCCCAACCCGTCTGATACAAATGACCTCCCTGAAGTTTGCATTGCAAAGAGAGGACCTATCAGCGAAGTTCCTGCAAGTAGAACATTCCCAAGAAGACTTTGTTTCTTAAATCCAGATCTCTTAAAATACCTACAGGCCTTTTGAAATGAATAGAGAAGGTTTGGAAATTGGTAAAAATGGTAAGTGGGATTTGCATTGATACTACAGCTACCTTTGTTCTGATCAAGGCTTGATTTGTTCTAAGACAGGGACCCCTGTTTTTAATTCCTCAGGAAATTGGGTTGCAACACAGGCCAACCCACCCATCCAGCTACATTATCTTTGGTTTGCTTCTTTATATCAAGGAGATCTTCAACTAGGATGGAAATTAAACGATTCATAATGTTCTACATTTACACCTTTGTCTCTGGCTTGTTCTAGTAATGCTTCAGAATGTTTTTCTTTATCTCTGGGCACATAGTTTAATTTTGGCCTAGAGGGGAAAGTTCCCAAAGAAATTGCCATTAGGCTCTGATGGTGACTATGCGCTTTCAATTTGGTCAACTTCTGACCATAGAGCTACTTAAAATCGTATCTTGTCAGGTTTGAGCTCAAACTGTAAATATTCCTGGTAGTATGGAACAATGCCATGGACACACAAGGTGTCCTCAGAGAGGGCACAAAGAACACTACTCTCGAGATCTAGAGCCACTCCCAAAAATGACCAGAACAAAGACAGCCCATTGCCAAGCACTGGCAGTAAGCATTGGAACCCCAACCGGAAATGGAGTTCAACCGGCATTTCTGCCTGACCACACACTGGGGTTCCCAACGCGATGGTTGCCGAGCCAAGCCCCCAGGATACAGGAAGGCAACAGCTGCCCCTGGGAGGGAAAGGGTCAGTAAGCTGTGGGTCTGGAATTGGGAAGGAAGGGACGTGAAATCTTACCTTCCTCTCTTGAGTGGGCCGCAGTAACTTGGGAGAGCAAACTCAGGTAAGGATTCTCACCCTTCTTTTTCCAGGATTCCCATCTGTGGGCTCTGGAGCAAGTGGGGTTCAAAGTACAGAGTGTAAGTTGTGCATCTGCCAGAACTTGACAAGGGGTCCCTTTAATTTTAGTTTCCCCTTAGCTGTTCCAGGAATGACTGGTAGTGGTTACAAGAGAATCCCTCAGAATCCGGTCAATCCTGTGAGGGGCCTGTATGGGGGCCCTCCTTTGACAGACTGGTGTGAGTGTGGTCATGTAGTCTCTTCCGGGTGGAAAGACCATTCAGACAGAGGATTAATACTATGAGTACTCGGGTGTAGAGGAGGATAAAGGGGAGTTCCCGGAGTCCCAGCAGTCATATGGTCTCATTTTAGGTACCTCTTGGGTCTTTAACTTTTCATTACCCTTTTGCAATCAATCTTTCAATGAAGCAGTTTGGGAATCTTGAAGCCTTCTGGAGGCTTCTGCATGCTGACTGAAATAGGTAACCCGTTCTGTCTGTTTCATTTGGGAACCCTTGCATTCAAGTGCACTTCTTAAATGAGGGAACTTGTCTAACTGGAACATTCCTTGTAATGACTACTGCAATTCCAAGTTGTCTTCAATACTGCCGGTCCGTGTGCATGAGAGACCGTAACTTTTTTTTTTTTTTTTTTTTAAAAAAACTGGGGGGTTGGGGTGAGGGTCACCCATAGAGCATTGAGATGCCTGGGATCCTATCTTTAGAGTCTTCCCAAGAGTGCCGAATACTTAGGGTGCCGACTTGGGTTTTGTTTGACAGTGTGCCTTTCGTGGGAAACGACCTCTTCACGGAGGACAGCCTTTGCCCTACTTGTCTGACCTATGACCTGGTGTCCCTTGTTGCACGGAATCGTCTCGCGGGTGGCAAGTGAGCTGCTGTGCAACTTGCTCGTCTGTCCGCGCCTTATCCTTACACAGTGGCCTTGTACTTTGGAGAAGGCGGTCTCTCCTGGCAGCGTCCGTGGGCCAACAGTAAGTTCACTGGCTTGAGGACAGGAGCCATTCCGGGCAGATGTTCACTGTGCCGGAGAGAAGTCTCAGTCTCCCGTAAATCAGGCCCTTCCAGGAAATCGGTCCAGTTTTCAGTTCCCTTCTCCTGAGGACACAGGCATGAGCTTCTCCGTTTCATTTCCTCCGGTTTCATTTTAGGCTGAAATCCTTTCACACAACAGCCCTGGTGATTCTAGCTTGCTTTATGAACATCTTGCCATCTTTGTAGTCACGTGCAGCTTCTGGGACCTACTTCTTAGACATAAAAGCAGTTGTGCCGGAAGGGGGCACACTCAATTCTTTGGAACCGGAGGATCTCATTTCGTCGCCTAAGCCTTCAGTTTGTCAGAGACAAGTTGACAGTTAAGAGGGACGTACCGCTGGGCTGGGAATCTTGCAGTGTTCCACCGTGTACCTCACTGGGTGGAAATTTTCTTGAGGTTGGCGGGTGACCTAGTGTCCGCCTAGGCCATTCCATAACCAGCTTATAACGGTCATCGAGTTGGGTGGCCACGCGCTCTAACAGCTTTTAGGTGCCCACCGACTTTCCAGCTCTGGTTTCTGAGCTGCCCATTAACAACAGATTTATTATTCCTTTACGTCATGTGCACGCTCACAGACCCGCAGCGAGCAAGGAGAGGATACTGCAGACTGGCCGTGACAAGGCCTTACGTGCGCACCACCCGTGGTTCCCAGCACACAACTGTGGACTGAACGAGCGCATGTCAACGGTGGGCGCCGTGGGCTAGCCGAGGGCTGGGGACTCAGGTTCCAGGTGGAACCACCTGCCAGCTCAGGCTGAGCGGCTGGGCCCTGGACTGGGGTTGCAGAGTAAGCAAGGGCTGAGGACTCGCCCGGCACCTCCTGGGAGTCCAAACTGAATGTTACCGCTGGACTGGGCAGCCGATTCGATGGGGAGCTTAAGGCCAAGAGGGCAGAGCTCGAAACCGAGAGGTACTTACCCAGGGCCCTCAGAGATGGTGACAAAGAGAACTCAAGGGGTTTGCAGGTACCAGGTCTCTGTTTCTTGTCCCTGAAGCTGGCTGAAGTCCTCTCTGGATCCCACGGCCGCCACCAAACTGTCAAACAAGATTCAACTGAGTAAATTTTACATTTAAAATTTTAAAGCTTGTTGACTTTATTCAGTCAAGTTGCAACCACACTCCTTCAGGAACTAAAGACAAGCCTCCCCCCTCTTACAAACCCAGGCTCTACAGGAACAGTAACACAGCTCTGGAAGCAGTTCCCAGCCCACCCCATTTCTTACCAATCCCCAAACCCCCCTATTCATCTCCAAAAGCTTTGCAGATATTTTAAAAGATCAGGATTTAAGAAACAAAATCCTTCTTGGAGAAACTTGCCTTCTTCCCCTGTGTCTTTGAGATGGAAATGCTCTGTCTGGTCTCCTCCTGGAACTATCCGGAAGCCCAGTTCTTTGACGTGCAAACTTCAGGGAGGTCATTCTTGCCAGGAGCAAAAAGCTAGGGGGGGAGGCTCCTTAGGATTAAGGCAAATGTCTTCTCTCTGGCTGGCTGAGCAGGTAACCTGAATTTATTCCGACTTCCAGAAACACAGTTTGGCTCCAGCTGTTCTTTTAGAAACGGATGCGTTTTACAGGCTCATGCCTGTCTCGTGCTTCTGGGCAACAGGGAGCTGGAGCTCTCTGGTTCTCTAGCTCCCCTTCTGCTTCCTGCTCCCACCAAGAACTGCCTTCTCCGGAGGAAACCCATCCTCTGGGTGTGAGGGCCACGTGGCCTGGCTTGGGCCTCTGCCCTGCTTTGAACCAGTGACACTGGTGGGTAGATTCGACTTGGCCCCCTTGCCCACCCTGGGGAGAGTGGAGGGCACCACCAGGACGAATGTTAGGGAGGGACCGTCCCCCAAAAAACACTACATGCCCCCTGTGGGCCACCTTTTCCCGGAAACACTTTCTCAGTCCCTCAGGCACCATGGCAAGAGTCAAGTCAGCGTTGTCAGCTTGGAGAGGGAGTTTGCAGGATGGGTGCGATCGAGTTAGCCCTTTACCACTTAAATATCGGAACAGATCTCCGTGGCCAGCATCCTAAGGGCCTGGGTGGCACTTTTGCTTCTGAAAGCGGCATTAACCCCACTGGATTTCAGGCTTTCAGGGCCCAGGACTCTCATTAAAGGCCACAGTGAGCCACAGATGCTTTGAGTTTTCCAACTTTCATGGTTTTTTGTTTTTTTTTTTTTAAGTTGGCTTCTTTTGAGAGAGAGCAGGGGAGGGGCAGAGAGAGGGAGGGAGAGAATCCCAAGCAGGCTCCCCACAGCCCTCCTCAGGACCCTATCTCTCAAACCATGAGATCACGACCTGAGCCGAAATCAAGAGTCGAATGCTTAACCCACTGAGCCACCCAGGTGCCCCTTTCAGTGTTTTAAAAGCCTGATGAGAAACATTTACAAAATCCGCAATGCCTTCAGCTCTTTGTTCCTAGAGAGGTCAGTGAATTGAACAGAAAAATGGGTTCAGCTGTTGATTCTTACAAACTGGCTCATGGGGCTGCTCTTTAAACTCCCTACTCCCTGCACCGTGTTGGATTAGGGTCTCTTCACACATCCCCACCCATAAAGCAGCACCAGCAGCAGGGGAGGAAATCAACTTCCACCACATATGCAGAATCCTCGTGGTGTTTCCAAAGAGAGAGTTCTACCCCAAGATGGGGTGTCAACCTCGAAGATCCAGCAGTAAAAACACAGAGCTACTAAACGGGCATCACAGACCAACATCATTCACAGGAATGTGGCTTCAGCAGCTGGAGGGTCAAGGCCCACAGTTCCATCCCTGTAGGAGTCCGTACAAACATCCCAGAAGGTACTACAAGTTACGCTAAGAAAAAGGAAAGAGCACACAGGCGACACCAGGCCCCTTTGTGCCGTTTCTGAACAGAGTACAGAGTTGAGCCATGCCCGCCCGCCCCGGGGCGGGGGGGGGGGGGGTTGAGTAGAGGCCTTCACCTTCTCAGGCTGCAGGGGCTGTTCCCAGTCGCTGAGCCAGCCTCTGGGCACCTGCCTAGCAATGCTACCCCTTGGCCATGTTCATGGACGTGAAGTTTGACCTTTATCTTGCCCCGAAGGAGCCAGTTTGGGAGGAGAGAGGGGCTATTTTTCCTAGAAATGATTGTCAGCCTTAGTACATCTGTGTAACTATATGTAAAAATTACTTCTCAACCTACATGACAACTTTTTAAGAAGAGTTTTGTTTTCAGTTTAGTTGCCTATGTGTTTTCCATGCATTTTGATAATCAGAAAACAATGCATGTTACTTAAACAGCACCGATGGGGAACCCCTGGGTGGCTCAGTTGGTCAGGCGTCCAATGCTTGGTTTCAGCTCAGGTCATGATCTCCCCGTTGGTAGGACAGGATCGAGCCCAGCGTCGGGCCCTGCGCTGGCAGGACGGAGCCTGTTTGGGATTCTGTGTCTCTGTCCTTCCCCCCCCACCTTGCACGGTCTCTGAAAATAAAAAGTAAACAGCACTGATTCAAAGACTGTTTAAACCACTTTCAAAATACCACGTGTTTCACGATCGGGAAGCCTGACATTTTGAACGTGCTTCTCCGATAGAATAAAAACCCATGGTTACGCCTGAGGCCTCCTGGAGCAGAACCGAAGCAGCTCTGCTGTGGGAGGAAGAACCCCGTGGAATCCAGCTCTGGGGAGCTTTGGAAGCTCCCACGGCGCAGGCTCGCCCCTAGACCCGCTAACCCGGCATCTTGAGGGCAGGACCCGAACAGGAGTACCCTTGAGAGTTCCCAGGTGATTCTGACATGCAGCCCAGTTTCAGAACCACTGCTCCCATTTTGCTCCATCACGGGCGTTCAAGGCTTTGGTCTCCTCGGTGTGCATTTTTCCCCCATTTGTGAACACCTCGTCCATACTCGGCACCGAATTAGGCCCAGTTCCTCACGCACAGGGAGGACTACCCATCAGGATCAGCCCCCGCTGAACTGAGCACGAACTCCTGAACTTCGCTCTCCCCTAACCACCCCCCTCTCCTTGCCTTCCCTGCAGGAGCTACGCTGATAGCTGTTTCCTGGATTCCTCCCTCTATCCAGAACTAGCCGACGTCCAGTGGTACGGGCAGGAAAAAGCCAAGCCCGGGACCCTCGTGTGAGCCAGCCGGCCTCAATCTGACCGCCTCAACGCCATTCAGAGATCACCTCACTGCCTCTCATTTGCCTTACCCAGACGCACTGTCACCCTGCACCAGCTTCGGCCCTCAGCACTTTTTTTCTCCCGTCTCCGCATTCCCTTCACCCCCAAAAACCTGACTGAGGAGACATTCTGGAAGGTTCCGGTCCCACTGTGTGTCCTCTGGCTCTCTCGCCCACGGAGAGCCAGGCGCCAATCCTCAACGGCACCTTGGTGGCTTCCCCCTGCCGTGACAGCCCCCAGGCCGGGAGCCATCAGGGAAGGTAACGGACATCAAACTCCTGTGGACAGGTGGCATTGGAAGAGAACAGGAAAGGGGACTCGAGTACAGGGTGATCCAGAAAGACGATGAAGCTATGGTCGGCCTGCACTCGGTGAAGAGGATGCCTCGCTCGCTCGCGCGGGGGAATATGGGACTCCGTTGACACTTGAAATAGTCCCGGGGGGGGGGGGGGGGGGGGAAGAGAAAAGAAGCCCAACATGTCAGAGATGCATCCGAGGATCACAATCAGTTCTATGCTGCCAAAGATTTAAAAAAAAAAAAATTTAAAAATAAAAAAACAAAAAAGGGGCCAAGGGGAAGACATTCTTTCTGCAGTGAAACCTTTCAAATTCTCAACGGCTCCTACTCATCACAAGTGCAAGCCCACCACACGTAAATGGTTTCCCCCTCTCTGTCCCTCTCCCCCACCGTCCCACCCACTGTCTCAGGCCAGAGCCCGGAGAGCTAACCCAGCTGCTGCCCCAGATCCCTGGGAGTGTGGACGGGGAGGAGCAGGTCCGCCTGGTCTGTGCGGGAGGAGGGGAGGGGGGCGGGGCTTCCCGTCCGAGCCCACCACACAAAGCTGCTTTTCTTTTGGGATCTGTAGGAAATGGAAGGTGGTGATCGCCAAGCTCTTCTCTCTCATTAAAACCACCAGTAAAAGCGTGTCCTGTTTTGCACAAGGTGTTACGTTTTTCTTTTTTACGGGAAACCAAGGGAAAAGCACATGGCCATCCATTCGAGTGTTCTGACCGTTGTGGCTCATTTTCTATTTGTTAGCACTTGTGTGACAAAGAGCTCAGACCCGACTTCGACTTCTCTCGGCACCCGGCTACCAATGTGTCACTTATTCAAAGAACCCAACTATGCCCTTAGATTTTTATCCCGTGTCTCTTAGGCGGAGCAGGGGTGGGGGGTAGAAAGTCCCGGCTCCCAGAGGGCCCGTATGCCTACAGCCTCGTCAGCTACCTTGATGTACCCGCATTCGTCTGCAGACACCAAGAGAGGAAGAAAGAAGAGAGAGAAAAGGTGTGTGGGAGCTGCACGTTTACATGTGTTTTGAGCTCTGCTTAATACACAACCGGAAAGCCATCTATCTTCAAAGGCCTCAAAAATACTTTTATAATAATGAGCGCACACTCTTCGTTGGGTTATTCCAAATGGCACAAACACGGTCTCCACAGAGGGGGTACGCTGTGCTTACTGGCACAGGTTGGGGGGGGGGGGCGGGGGGGGGGACGCTTTTTCTCACTTGTAATGACTTCCTATTGCAAAGGCATTTTGACAGCCAGGGACAGGAGCCGGGGTGGGGTAATTTTGTGGGCAAACAGAACCACAGTTAGCTTTAGCGTAAAAAGAAAAATCTTTGTTTTTTTTTATGTATGTGTAATCCGAGAGTAATGACTCTACCAGACCAGGAGGGTAGGATGGACACTACAATGAATTCAGTGGCAGTGCTCTCCTTCTGCTGTAGCTTGGAAAGCACTGTGGGGTCCCACTGAGGCTGGGACCGCTCTGGGCAACTGAGGGCCCGGTGTCCCCTCTCCGTGCACACCAGCTCTGTGGTGGTAACAGCTGGAGAAAGGGACATCCTCACAAAACCTCTGGGGAAACCCTGCAGGAGAAACAAAATTGGTTCCAATGCCATGAAGCGATCGTGGGGAGGGAGGGGATGGGGTTTTCGTTGCCCTCATTTTGATGATCAATCAGAGCTACAGCCCACAGGTTTTCTTCCTTCCCCATTCAGAATATTCTGCACCGGGCCATCTTTCTTTCTCTCCAGTGACACACAGATAATCAAACTGAACTGTGTGCAGCAGGGCAAGTCAAGAGAGAAACCGAGGAGGTGACAAGGTTACGTGGCTGCGGGGTGACCAGCACGTACCGTAGTTTCAAATCTGGTCTGACGTCCATCGGATCACGCTTTGAGCCCAGTTGGGTTTACGAGGAATGAGAGACGAAAATTCTTCCTCCACGCTTGGGTTTTGGATTCAGGAGGCAGCGAGGAACGGGGTGGGAGAGAAATCCAGTTCAGACAAACACCATTATAGTCTGGTGGTAAAGACGGAGATTAAGTCAAACAGGTTTTACTGTTGAGCTGCGTTCAGTTACTACAAAATGTACATACTGTTAGTCCTTTGAGACCGACATGATTCATGACCAGTGTGGCGGGAAACAATAGCTGTTTTGTGCAAGCACTTGCAAGCTCTTCCCAGATCCCGATTTCTTTAAAAACAAAGTAAGATGGAATATAAAGCCCCTGGTCTGATATAAGCCCCTACTGGATTCTTGGGATACGTGTAAGAAATTGCCTGTTTAGCCTGAAGACTGTTGGGAACACCTACATCAGACTTTGTTGTGAGACAGGTGGATTTTTTTTTTGTTTTGTTTTATTATATGCAGGTGAGTGTTGAAACTGTTAAAATGCCGATTTGTTTTCATTCAGTGTTAGTTCTAAATATAGCAAACCCCCCTCCAGGTGCTATCAGATGACCAGTTACTGCTTAGTTAACTAGGTGTAAAGTTTTACATATACATTAATGTCAATAGTTTATTACACGTTGTGTAAAATGGACTCTAGTTTAATAATGGGGAGAAAGGATTAGGTTGCTCCTGAAACTGACTGTAGAGCATGTAAAATGATTTTACTGGATTCTGTTCAACTGTAATCAATGAAAAGGATGTATGTTGTAGACAAAGTTGCAGAATTAAAAAGAAATCTGCTTTTAATTTATTCTTTTTGTATTAAGAATTTGTATAGTACCTTTACATTTTGCAAAACAGTGTTGTCAACACTTATTAAAGCATTTTCAAAATGAAAAGATCTTGGCTGCCTCTCGGAGATTTTGTTTCTAAGCGGTCTGTGCTTCAACAGGCTCCGGAAATCTGTAATTCAGGTGCCTGTGTCCTCCTCGGATTTTTTTTTTTTCTTTTAAGTCAATCTAAAGCTGATACCCTCACGGTCTTGCTAGATACAGAAGAGCTCAGTTTGTGTCGTAGAGGCTAAGTCTCCCTTTCTCTAATTGCCTTGTTAATTATACAAAGACGACGTATTCTCAATGATGTGCTCCTACCACCAAAAAGGATTAGACGTTCGAGGTCAGTCTCTGGCTACATTAGCATGTGTCTCACTGTTCCTTACAAGTAGTAACCCATACGCAGCATGTGCCGGGTCTGGGTCCTGTCCCCACAGAATGGCGGAACCAACGCTGAGGCAATCCGGGCTTTGGGCCATCCTTACTCTCTCTGTGGTCCCTGGGCCTGTGGAGGAGGCACAGGACCCATCGGGGAGGCAGGCAGGATGCTCAGGCTCTTTTTTTTAAATTTTTTTCAACATTTATTTATTTTTGGGACAGAGAGAGACAGAGCATGAACGGGCGAGGGGCAGAGAGAGAGGGAGACACAGAATCGGAAACAGGCTCCAGACTCTGAGCCATCAGCCCAGAGCCCGACGCGGGGCTCGAACTCACGGAGCGCGAGATCGTGACCTGGCTGAAGTCGGACGCTTAACCGACTGCGCCACCCAGGCGCCCCCAGGATGCTCAGGCTCTTTACCAGCACTGCTGTTGGCCGTGCACTCACACCACAGCTCTCGCTTTGTCACCACCATCTACATCACGTCACCGAGGCAGCAGCCAGTTGGGCCCGCAGGCGCAAGGAGCCAGCCCCCTGCTGAAGGACAAAATGGCAACTGGCCGACTTTCATAGAGACCGCACCGCCCTTGCATCCCTGGTCCCCTGACCCGATGTGCGTCTCTTCACCAGCAGGAGACGCTAAGCCCGGAGGCCAACAACACCCCCTGGACGGAAAGCTCTTGCTGAAGCATTTGCCACCAGAGCGAGCTAACACCTGCCAGAAATGAAAACAATCCCCAGAGGAGGTGAATGAAGCACGTCAGAGGCGAGCCCATGAGGACATTTTACACTTCCTAAGCCTTTCCTTGGGAAGGCAGCCAGGGCCTCTGTATCTCAAGATAATCATCACTAACGTCAAACAAACAAACGGAGATATTCTGTAAGTCTTTTACATGCACACAGGTCACGGCTCGGGAAATAAATTCAGCATCTCGTCATTCAGCTCTGACCATCCCACGAAAGCAACTGGCACGCAGGAAGACGGGACTTGAACATTTCTTTTCCTGCTTCTCCCCACCTTTTACACCACACACGCGCACACTCCCCTTTCACAGTGCTAACAAAGCAATTCCAAACAGCTATTATGTTGGTTACTAGAACACAAACATCCACAAATCCCAGTAGAAAGCATTAAAAATAGCCAGGGCTGCGGCCGCTTCCTCCCAAAATGCCAGTTCAAAAAAGCTCACGCCTAAGGTTCTCTCTAAAGCGAGCGTCGGAGAACCGCCGGTGAGGGCGAGCAGAGGCCCTTCACTGCACGTCGGGGAGGAATCCAGCTCTTCTCCAGCTCACACGCACACAGATGACACACAGGCACACAAGCACTGCGCGAGGGGAAACGAGGTAGCCCAGCAGTAAGCAGACGGAAGGAAGAGTTGAAAAGGAGTCCAGGGGAGGAGAAATCGAGGTGTGTCTAATGGGATCTCCCTGCCGGCCTGGTCCGAGGGGCCGGCCGGTGGAAGATGCGGCAGAGAAGGGGGGAAACCCTGCTCCCCCTCTCGGCCTTGCACGAAGCCTCCCCAGCCCAGCCACTCTCTCTTCAGATAGGACCTGAAAGGCCTGGCTTGCAACGCAGGAGACTAACCAGTGAGTTGACAGAACTCATACATTTACAGTTGCACCAAGATTTTTTTTTTTTTTTTTTTTAATCAGAAACCCATTTTTTTCTCCATCAACTATTATCCCTACAACCAAGTGAGTTCCTTTGGACTTTCATTCATTCATCCTTTTTCTACGAAACCCGCTGCCATCAACCTTCTATTTCCCCCATTCAACCAAAACCATTCCTGCCAAGGTCAAGGACGGCTCCCACAGTGCCAAATACAACGGTTAATTCTCTGTTTTCATCCTACGTGACTTACCGGCTACACGACACAGTGGGTCCCCTCGCGTCCTTCTCT